TAGAGAGAGATAGAGAGAGTGATAGAGAGAGAGATAGAGAGAGTGATAGAGAGAGATAGAGAGAGTGATAGAGAGAGAGATAGAGAGATAGAGAGAGTGATAGAGAGATAGATAGAGAGAGTGATAGAGAGAGAGATAGAGAGATAGAGAGAGTGATAGAGAGATAGAGAGATAGAGAGAGTGATAGAGAGTGTTTATCATGTGTGTTGTGTGAGTCTGTGTGTGCTTGTTTCCATAGACTGCTAAGGTAGCTCGGCAAGTGGTCTGTTACAGGCAGCATTCCTAGCTCACGTGTGTCGCATGTGAGCTGAATACCTGGGCTTTCTTCTGTACATTCAAAATCATGAGACGACCACCCGTTGTCTGTCCCTGTGGATTTAAGCACCCCGAATAATTTAGCAAAATTTGATCATTTTTGTGTGCATAATTTCTGATTATTTTCCTTCATCATTCTTTGTTAAACTTAACAGAATCGCATAATTTCACATTTTTGGGCTCAGTTTGCATAAATTCATAATTTATTTATTTTTTTGGCATAAAACCACGGGAACAGCATTGTAGAGGATAAAAGTGGCAGTCTTAAACAGGTGGTCATCTTAGACTGGTGTCTGATCCAATTTTTTTACATTTTAAAATCACCATCCCCTACCAAGAATTGTTTCACTGAACGTGTTAAAGAGGTCTGGGTATTTAACACAGCCTTGTCTTATTCCTTTACTTTAATTCGTTTATTTTTGCTGTATTCTCCCATAACTTTTACAACAGCCATTTGGTCCCAGTAAAGATTCCCATACCCCCCGGGGCAGTGCCACTGACTGCAGTGTCTTTAGGCATTCCCAAAGGGGGGACATTTCTCGTTCAAGCACAGTAGAAGGGCTGATTCATCATGTCACGCTCATAACTGCGCCTGATCTACAATAGGGAACTGCTGCTTTTTCTTTCCCAATCCTTACTATTGTCATTTCCTCTACTTCTTTTGTATGTTTGTCACACTCTTGTGACCTGTTATTTCCGGAGTGCCTTGATAGTCGAAACAGACCTTGTGCTGTTGAAGCTAGAGAGGTGAGAAGAGTAAGTCTGATTCCCTGTAAAGTCTTCTCTGCTGACACCCACCCCTTGGCGTTCATATGACCTTATGCAGCTGCGAGTGGCGTAAAACCTTCTGCTAAAAATGTTTTTTTAAATTCCCGAAATGTTTAAATCCTT